TAATTTAAATGAATAGAAATTATATATTATATATTATATAAAATTATTATATATAAAGTTATATACATTTTTTATGTAATTTATAATTTCAATAATATAATGCTGCCCTATATGCCATGGACATAAAGGCCAACTAATGATGATGATATTACATAATATAATAAAATATAAATAATTCAATAGAATAGAATAGAAGATATAATTCTCTTGTGTTTAATCGTTACGACAGAATATATAGCACACCGCACACAGTTGTGTGATTTACTGTATGGTACTGTATGGTTACACACATAAGTGTGTTTATTGTGAGGGCAGAAAAGTGATCAGGGTAATTAGCAACTTCACTAGTTCCAAGTAATTAAATCGTGTCTCCCACCTTGTAATTAGCTGGGAGAACATGACAAATGAAGGGGTGATTAGCGGCTAATCAGCTTTGCGTTGTGCTGTACGTGACGCTCTGGTGTCTCTGTGCTCAGATCAAGCTCTCGGATTTCGGCTTCTGCGCTCAAGTGTCTAAAGAGGTTCCCAAGAGGAAGTCTCTGGTGGGAACGCCGTACTGGATGGCGCCGGAGGTCATCTCCAGACTGCCCTACGGCACTGAGGTACGGCGGACGCTCTGGTTAATGACGGGTGACCTGTGTGCTGGATGATGGGTAACTAGTCACCCGCTGGGTCTGCTGTGGTGTGTCTGCAGGTGGACATCTGGTCTCTGGGCATCATGGTGATCGAGATGGTGGACGGAGAGCCGCCGTACTTCAACGAGCCGCCGCTGCAGGCCATGAGACGGATACGAGACAACCTGCCGCCGCGACTCAAGGACTCTCACAAGGTGAGCAGCTGTGATTCTATTGGTCAGAGCCGCGGTCACATGATCGCAGTCACGTGTGTTGATTTACAGCGACGCTCTGAAACTCCTTTATTTCTGAAACACCCAAACCCAACGAAAACTCAAACGGAAACTTTATTTGATAATCAATTAATCGATCAAATTTATTTAACAATTAACATACAAATAAAAACTGCTGTACATAAACATTCAAATTGCTCATAAAGCAATTTTTATATCAGCCTTTTAATGATATAATTATGTTTCTACTAGGGCTGTCAAATGATTAAAATTTTTATTCTAATTAATTACATGATGTGCCAATTAATTAATTGCACATCAGTTTTTTTTGGCTGAGAAATTACCCCCCAAAAGATATTGTATTAAATGAGAAAACCATTTAATAGACATTACAAAAAAATAGCTTTAGAAAGAAATATTTTGCTTCAGCATTGCATAAATAATGATAATAACGAAGCAAGACACTGTTTTTATGCACGAGTGACTGAATCATTGACTCGCTCGATTCGTTCGAAACTTCTGATTCATTTAACAACGAAGCAAGACACTGTTTTTATGCATGAGTGACTGAATCATTGATTTGCTCGATTCGTTCGAAACTTCTGATTCATTTAATAACAAAGCAAGACACCATTTTTATGCATGAGTGATTGAATCATTGACTCGCTCGATTCGTCCGAAACTGCTGATTCATTTAATAACGAAGCAAGACACCATTTTTATGCATGAGTGACTGAATCATTGACTCGCTCGATTCGTTCGAAACTTCTGATTCATTTAATAACGAAGCAAGACACTGTTTTTATGCATGAGTGACTGAATCATTGACTCACTCGATTCGTCCGAAACTTCTGATTCATTTAATAATGAAGCAAGACACTGTTTTTGTGCACGCGTGGCTTAATCATTGACTCACTCAATTCGTTTGAAATTCATTCAGTAATTGAAACACTGGTTGGCAAAATTTCAAATGGCAAGCTAATAATGCAGCGTCCGATCAATTGTCCGGCTCATGTCTATAAAAAGATATATATACTGTATATGTTATGCATATGGATCACTGTGTCATGTGACGTGAGGCGTGTGTTGAGTCAGCTGAAGCTCCACTGACTGGCCGTCTTTTCTGCTGTGTGTTTGGGTTCAGGTGTCGTCGGTTCTGCGGGTGTTTCTGGAGCTGATGCTGGTGCGAGAGCCGTCTCAGCGTGCGTCGGCGCTGGAGCTGCTGCAGCACTCGTTCCTGAAGCTGTCGGGCCCACCGTCCTGCATTGTTCCTCTGATGCGCCACTACCGCCACCGCTGAGAGCCGCTGAGAGCCGCGCGTTTAGACTGCAGTCATTCAGAACGGATCGGCTCGGCGGCCCGCGGGCGTCTGACGCCCTGCGCTTCGGTCCGGTCCCGCGCCGATCACACGTCTCTCTCACTCTCGTCTTCTCACGCTAACTATGAAGATGCATTTTAGAGCAATTGTAAGTTGTACTTGTACAGTTTTGATAAACGGCAGTATTTTTGTTGTGATGTCACCATGCTGAAATGGGCAGTATTACCTAGAACTGAGAGTTTCTGCAAAATAACAATAACTAATAATAATAAACTTTCCTACTGTTTATATTTAATTTTTTTGAAGATGGTCATAAACTGGCTGTTGCAGACAGATGAACCTGAATATATTTATTTATTCTACGTTTGTAGGTCATGTGCGCTCACGCCAGAGTTTTCTACGCTCGGTTTCTTTCTGGTTTTCAGTAGTGTGGCCTTCACGCTCAGTCTCACCCGATCTCTAGCAATATGAAGCTGTTGGACACAGTCCTCACGCGTGTTTTCTCGTGCCGTCTCACCCGTGTCTCATGGCTCACTGTGATCTGGACATGCGTGTTCCTGTAGGACTCTTCAGATCCGCTGTCGCGTCGCTTCTGTGCAGTGATCCTGCATGTGTGTCACTAAGAGCTGCTTTCAATAAAACACAGATGCGTCACACGCCGTCCTGTGTTCATTCGTCTCATGAGCAGGTTTTGAGTTCTAGACGCTTATATAAAGATGTTTTTCTGGAAGGATTTCTGCTTCATTTTGAAATGAGCGAATGATCTACAATCCCATGATGCATTGTAAATGAGGTCAGCTGACAGTCTCATCAAGGTGTGGGGAGAGTTAGAGATGTGTTGCACTCTAAACAGCTTTCAGTGGCTGGATAGAAAAATACTCTTAAGCAAAAAAATAATCTTTTGGTTCTCAAATATTAAGAACATTTTAATACAATAAAACTGAGCAGCTCATGATCATTTTTATGTTACAGGTGTGAGATTTAATGACATTAAACATATGCAAATTTACTTAAATCATTTGATTAATGTGACATGAAGAAAACGAAACGAAAACTTGTTCAAGACTATTAATTTTTCATTTAGATGTATATGTTCAAACATAAAAATAATAAACATGAATAATAGTTTTTTTTTTTTTTACATGTGTCCAGGGTTATTATAACTAAAACTAAAACCATAAAACAATTTTGTTACTTAAACTTTAACTGAAAAAAAAATATAAAATCTCAACCTTTTCATTTTCATTTGGTTTAAAAAAATCTAAATATTGACAAAAATTATAATAGCGTAACAATCTAATATCTATGAATCTGAGACCCCAAAAGGCTTATAAATATTCACACTGACCTCCCCTGAGCAGAACGAGCCATTCATGCCATTATTCTTTTATTGAAACTAGCCAATAAATGCATGAAACATCTTTTACTCTGTTTTGAATTCTTCAGTTGTCTAGAATAAACGATTAAGAACATTTTCAAGTATTCTATTAATAAAACTATTCCTAACTTTGTAAGAAAATACCAATGCAGAATTTTGTGAATCAGCTTAGCTGAATCAAATTTATGTCAACGTTTACAGTAAAAGATGCTTCCATACAGTTTTGAAAGCATGACATAATCTACTGTCAATCTTACTGCTGTCTCTCCGCTTCTGCTCGATTCTCCATTCATCTGCGGGTCGTGTTTCATTCTGATGAATCTAAACCTTCTTCAGCTGGAGGAGAGAAACCTCATCCATCAGAGAGTGAATGGAGAAAACACACGTCACATCAGTACATTTAGATCACAAAATAATATGCAATAATCATGAAGCAATCGTTAAATATTTGTACTTTATTTATATCCTTCAATCCATTTACATATCTCTATTTTACAGTGACAGACTCGTGTGGTAAACGACATGCAGTACATGAGGAGGGCATCCAGACCAGACATCTGCATCAAACCCGTCTCCGCCACAGAATAACAAACTAAAGTAAAGGTGATAGCTACTTTTTCATTTGGACTGTTTCTAGCAATTCTGAGATATAAACAGGATTGCGTAATATAAATTCACAATTCTGTGGAAAAAAAGTCAGAATTACGAGATATTAAAGTCAGATAGAATTCTGACTTTATTCTTAGAATTCTAAGTTTTCATCTCGCATTTGACTTTTTTTTTCCCAGATTTTTTCTAAGTTTACATGTTGCAATTCTGACTCTTTTCTCTGGATTCTGCGTTTGCGTCTCACAATTTAGATGTTTTTCTTCTTCTCGGAATTCTAAGTTTACATTTCACAATTTTGACTTTTTTTTCAATTGCATGATGTAAACTTAGAATTCAGAGGAAAAATTCATAAATGCAAAATGTTAGAAATCTGGGAAAAAAAAGTCAATTGTGAGATGCAAACGTAAAATTCGGAGGAAAAAAGTCAGAATTGTGATATGTAAAATTAGAGACAAAAATGTCCCCATTAAAACAGCAATATTTAATCCCAGTGTCAATAAACAAACTCATGCACTCAAGACTATTTTCAATGAATTATAGTTTTACAACTCGCAAATGACTTTTTTTCAGATTTCTAAATTTATATGATTTTTCCCCTGAGAATTCTAAGTTTACACCACGCAATTCTGTTTTCCTGCCATGGAATAAAAAAATCTAAAAGGTAATTGCAACTTTTTTATCTCACAATTCTGGCTTTTCCCCCACACAATCTCACAAAACAAGAGTTTTAGCAATTCTGAAAAAAAAAGTCGCAATTACCTTTTTACATTCGTTTAATTCTATGGTGCAAACTGGCTTCCATACATTTGACACAGAAACCAGAAAGAAAAGTGGCGTTCTAATGACGTGCGTTGAGACATTTGGACTGACGTCACGTCCGGTAGAGATCTTCACATGTTCTTGTAGAGCGAGCGGTCGCGAGGAAGCTGCGGCTGCTGCGCGGCGCTCAGTTTGAGGTGGAAGTGATAAACGGAGATGGTGATGACGATGATGAGACCCAGGATGAGACCCAACACTGTAAAATTAGAGACAAAAATGTCCCCATTAAAACAGCAATATTTAACCCCAGTGCCATTAAACATAAACTCATGCATTCTTTGTTAACCAGCTTTCATTCTGTTGGCAAGACTACAAAATTGTAGCTATTTTTTTTTTAAATTACGATGTTTTACTATTTTGGCACAATTTTCTGAGGTTTGGTCTTTGGAGCAAATACTTGCTTTGTTCCTGTTTTCTGCTTCTGCTGGAGAACGGCCAACGGAACTGAATGTTGTATAATTGTGTGTGTGTGTGTGTGTGTGAGAGAGAGTGTGTTGTTCTTGTAGAGCGAGCGGTCGCGAGGAAGCTGCGGCTGCTGCGCGGCGCTCAGTTTGAGGTGGAAGTGATAAACGGAGATGGTGATGACGATGATGAGACCCAGGATGAGACCCAACACCAGCGGCAGCATCTGCTCCAGCTGCTCCCGCTGGTCCGTGATGCATTTAAACGCTGCAGGAGGAGAGAAGCGCTGGTCATTCACACTCCACATCAACACATACAGCCTAAAACAACATCTAGAGAGGTATTCGGTTTTGTCGTTGACGTCACTGAGAGTCAGTGGTGTGTGTTTGCGGAGTTGTGAACGTGTCAAGAGCGCTTGTGCGAAACACGACACACAGCGCTGACGTCACAAAGTGTTCGAGAACCACGAGTCTCTTCTACAAGAGTCTGATCTGTGCAAACAGGAACATCTTCATCTGCTGACAGATCCTCATAACCCCTCACACTCAGTTCAACTCCTGCTGTTTTACGGTCAATTTGACTTGAATTCTAAAATGCTTGAAATACTGGTTAACCAACTTATTTCTTCAAATTTGGTGAATATTTCTCATTCAGGGTCATGATGCATGTGCAGTGTTCCGACACATACAAAATTTGTTGCAACTTTTGAGTTGCGGGTCAAATTGGTTTCCATGCAATTTGCCAAAAATCACCACTTTGAATAAAAAAAATCTTAAGAACTTTTCTTGTAGCTTGTCGAACGTATTAAATGTCAGATTCAGTTGAGACTCGTCTTGAGAATCACTGTTAGATTCACAGTCAAACAAATCTGTCAAAGGTTGTTTATTTGGATCTGAAACACTAGACTATCAGTGAGAACCCCTCAGTAGGGTTAGATACGAGATAACAGAAGTACAAACAGCAATAAACACAACGAGCACAGATAATATCAGATCATTGTTATTAGTTGCTTGTAGTTATTTGCACCTGTGAGACAAAAACATAATATATTCTGTCTGAACAACTACACACACACAGAGAGAGCGAGAGAGAGACACACACACACACACACACACATTAGGGGACTATGGTAAAACTGCTGTAAGAATTCAGATGGATCAGTTTCTGCTGGAATCACCTTTGAGAAGAAGATGCGGAATGTGAATGCGTGATTGATCCATGAGATCTGCAGCTCCGACTCACTGCTTCCGCATTTCCCAGCGATCTGAGCTCCACGCGGGATCGACACGGACGCCTGCTCCGTGATCAGCTGCACACACACACACACACACACATAAGCATCATCTCATGTTCATTCATGAAAGTTTTCAAAACGTTTAAAGCATCCTGACGGGTCGTGCGGATCATGATGGCATTTCTGTTTAACTTTGTCCAAATCCATTTAGAATCCGTGTTGATCATGTTTTGACTAAATCAGCTCAGAATGCTCCATTTAGGATTTTAGAGTTGCTCACATCGATCCCGTTCAGTGCCAGGACGTCGTACGGAATCAGGAATTTCACTGCAAACTCCGCCATCAAGCAGGTCGTTCCATTTTCTCTCACTACGAAAATAGTGTCAGATTGACCCCTAATACAATAAAATAAAATCATTACATTTCTCACACATTTGATATTTTCTCAGTCTCTGACCAGCTACAGTAGAAGTTTGCTGTTTTTACATGAATCTCTACTCTGTGGGTTTTTGTCAGATTGCATGGAAACCAGCGAGGGTCAGTCTGACCCCAAACACAGACGTTGAGCGCAGTTTTCAACACATCGACGCAGACTGAAGCGTTGGTTTTGCTCGTGTGAGACTGCGCTGAAGGAAACCGGCACTATACACACACTCATCCCGCGGGTCACTGACGGGTCAGCGCTACTAACCAGAACCTACTAACCCACCGCGGCTCATTTCAGCACTAAATCAAACCGTTACATTCGCCATTAAGATGAAGATGATTTTTAGTCATTAACCCTGTGCGTCTTTAGGGACATTTTTGTCTTAAAAAATTTTTTTTTTAATCATTTTGGCTGTTAATGCAAACAATGTGTATTTTTATTGGCTTTTTAATATTTCACCCTCATTTCCTTTCATAAATCTATTTTACAGTAGGTACAAAAATATCAGAGATGAAACTGTCCCCATTAAAACAGCAATATTTAACCCCAGTGCCATTAAACATAAACTCATGCATTCTTTGTTAACCGGCTTTCATTCTGTTGGCAAGACTACCACACACACACACACTCTCTCTCTCACACAAACACAATCACACTCACAATCACACACACACACACTCTCTCTCTCTCACACAAACACAATCACACACGCACACACACACAGAAGAGTCTACTCTGTTCTGTTTCTATTGTTTCTGTGCTGCTCTTTGTCTTCACCGGGGTTTGTGAAAATTTCTCTGTAAAACTGCACTGAAACATAACTGCATTTTCTATTCTATTCTCTTCTCTTCAGTAGGCTACACTGTATAGTGATATATAACAATTAAAGAAACTACACCTGGAAGCAGATTTGAATGAGTAAATCTCTCTTTTCTGCAGTTTTTTCTGCTGTATTTGAGAATTCTGTTTGATGTCCGTCCCTTAAACGAATTCATGCAACTGACGCGAATCAAGCTCCCCCAGATCATCTACTGCAGCACAAGCAGCACTAGAACTCACGGAGCAGCAGCAGGTCCATGATGAAGCGGCGCTCGTGCAGGACAATGTGCGGAGGATTCCAGCGGAACTTCAGACTGACCGCTGCGCGCAGTTCCTCCGAGTTTCCCCGCAGAGGACGGACGGTCCGCTCCCGTGTCTGCCCGAGCCACACTGATCAGCTCTGAAGCAGCTCCTCCCCGCGACTCTATCACGACACGACGCTCTCAGTCCTTCAGTGATTACCGCAGAAGAAGCCACAGCTGTTTTCAGCCCGGGAAAAAAAATCCTTGCCTGGGACTCCGGGGTAAGTTGTCACATGATCTGTTTAAATGCGTCTTAAAATAGAATCATTTTGAGCAATACATCAACACAATAAAGCACACTTACATGAAGACAAGTATTTTGTATTTTTGGAAATTCATAAACGTGTTTTCATTTTAAACAATTTATTAATTACACTTTCGGAGCTTTTACATTGTTACTGTTTCGTGAATTTTTTCATAAATTCATAATTTAATGTTTGAAGTTGATTTCAGAGTCAGGTTTCACTGTGACAACTTACCCCGTATAGTGTCACAACATTCTTCACTATAGGGGGAGTTAAAAACATTCCTGGTCAATAACAGTGTGAATATTCAATAGCCTTTTTGTGGACTTAAAAAACATAAACCCACTGTGACAACTAGCCCCAGTCTGCACTAACACAAGATGACTAGTATTCAAAACACTGGCAAAACTGAAAAATGAATATATGAACACATAACTAACTAACTAAATTTAACAGAATAAAATAAAACTATTTTTGAAATGACGTCATGACAGGTAAACACAATAGATGTGAAACGCAGTCAGTTTCATAGATGGGATCTTTCTAAGCTGCAGGTCAGTGGCACAAATGTTCTTATGTCTTAAACATCATCACACACCGTTGTGAAAAATGCTTCGGGTGACAGTGTCTGCTAAATGTACAAATGAGTGATTTATTCCAAGCCCTTATATGGTTTGTTGGCACGGCACCCATTGAAGCTGCACTAGTCAGTAAGTTAGAGCTCGTCGCAGACTGCGGTCGAAGCGTGCTCTGCAGCACAGACTCAGACATCAGGAGCAGCTTTGAACTGAAAGTCAAACTCACACTTGACCGCGCTGATGCTGTCGATGCTCGGCTTGCTCCCGACTTGAGGGTGCTTGTTTCCCAGGGGAAAAGTCTCTGACCTTGGGATGCAGGGCGCGGGCGCTTCTGGAGCCTCCGGCGACTCTCTGCTGCAGCTCTTGAGCTCTGGGAAGGTGAATCTCCTCAACAGCCTCCCGCTGAAGGCGCTCAGAGATCTGGAGGTGCGCTCCGCGGTCACCGCGGTTTTCTGCACGGTTTTGCGCAAAGGCTTGAGACGCTCCGGAGCCGCCAGAGTGCTAGTGGGTAAACTGCACCTCTTCTGATAGTAACTGTCATCAAACCTTTTGATGGGCAAGTCAACCGCCAGTTTCTTGGCTTTGTCGAGCTCTACTTTGGCGTTGTTTTTGCTGAAAGGATTTAATAAAATGCCAAGAGGACCAGAAGCGTGCGCACAACTCAAGGGCATTTTAGAGGGTCTGGGTGAGTAAAACAACGGAGGCAGGTGATTGTTCAGGCAGGTGGATGGATGTTCTTCGTGTTTGAGCTGCTGAGGAGGTTTTGGGGTTAAAACACCAGAGAACATCTGGCCTTGTGGTGATAATGGCGATGAAGCATCACCTTCCTCAATGCAGTCCATCGACTGGATTCTCCTCCGCACACTGAGGGACCGTTTACGGGTTGAACTGATGGGAGGCCGCAGCGCATCTTCAGGGGAAGCTCTTGTTGGATGGATCTGGAGAGGTTTGTCCTCATGTTCATCTTCGCTGATGTTCACAGTGGAGAGTTTCTCAGCGAGTGTGTCACCATCGTGAACCCTCCTGGAGTTACTCAGCAGCGCCTGCAAGCAGTCAGTGTGTCTGAGATACCTGGCCACCTCCACTGCAGAGTTGCCCACCTTGTTTTGCCGCTCGATCTGGAGACCCAGCCTTTTGAAAGCGCGCACCAGGAACTCCACGACGGCCGAGCGTCCGGCCGCTGCGGCGTACATGAGCGCGGTGTTCCCCCAGGCGTCCGCTGCCTCGGGATCCGCGCCGGTCTTCACCAGGATCTTCACCGCGTCCAGGTGTCCCATCTCGCAGGCGTAGCTCAGCGGCGTGCGGCCGCTCTCGTCCGGGAGATTCACGCTTGCGCCCCTCTGCAGCAGAAGATTCACGAACCTGCATCTCGCACCCGAGTCCTGGAGAAGCACGGCGGAGATGAGCGGCGTCTGCGCCCCTTCGCTCTCGGAGTCGATGATCTTCCCATCCAGAGCGTCTAAGACGAACCTGGCGAGGTGGAGCTTGTCGTTGGAGATGGCGTCCAGGAGGATTCTGGAGTCGGTTTTGGAGCAGCAGCTGTCCGAGAGTCTCAGCATGCTTCCTCAGTCACAGTCTCTCCGCGGCTGATGGAGATCTGCTTTATACCGCTGCGCTGCGTGTTTCCACGACAACATGAATCTCATCATCACACTTTATTGTTCGTAAGTGGATGCGTGTATTAATGTGCTGATTGTAATAAGGGCTTCAGAGAAACACGCCGACTGAACCTTATGAATAAATGCGCCGGTTACTGTTATTGACGGGACCGCTGCGGTTCCTCTGTGCTGAGACTGAAACGACTTTCTTCACGGATTCATGGCGAAACACACATTGAACATTACTTTCAGTGAAGGTGCTGTAGGCTATTGTTTGTCGCTACTATCTGACAGATATCAGTGAAGTCTAGCTCTGTTTGAGTTGTGTAGATGTGTAAAATACTATACATACTCAACAGAGGAGAACACTTAGTCCCTTACGAAAATTAACCACGGTTTCACTACAAAGGAAAACATGCTTACAATAGTTAAACCACGGTAACTACAAATTATCCATGGTTTTACACTAACCTTAGTTTAACCATGGTATTTGTAGTAAAACTGTGGTTATACAAATGGTAATCAATACGCCAAAAATCATAGTTACTACACTTTTACTTTATCAGAATCAATCAGAAATCACAGCCAATCAGAAGCGCGTGTGGGCGGGCCTTCTAAGTACATAATTTTATGATACACTTTTTATGATGGATGGATGCACTTTATTGTACTTCTTTTGGACTATTGAAAAATAACACCCATTCACTGCCATTATAAAGCTTGGAAGAGCCATATATATATATTTTTAATATAACTCCGATTGGATTCGTCTGAAAGAAGAAAATCATATACACCTATATGACACCCATGTATGTGAAATCCAGCTAGCAGGAAACACAAATTAATGAAGTTATATTTTCCTATATTCTCTTTCGAGCAGTCAAACAATCCACAGAAAACATCTTTAAAACAAAGAAAAGTCACTTACAAAATGAGATCAGATGAACATGAATAAATCTGACTAAAATGTGTCTGTGTACAAAACAAGTGACTGAATCTTCCTCAGAAGAGACAAAAACAGCAGCTCACTTCAGTGTCTGACTCATATTATAATCACGTCCAGAAGCTTTTGGTGAAATGAACTTATTAACCTGTTGCTTGACCTGTTCATATTTCAGGAGAGAACTAGTTTCCAAAGTCAGACGTCGCTTATGATTTTCAAGGCTGTAGAGTTTAGTAGAGACATGAACCCTTTTTTAAATAAAGCATATAATCAATACCCGAGATTAAAACCTGTTTCTAAAAGATAATATCCCCTGCACGGTGAAAAACAGCCCCTTAATGCTTTACGAACAGACAGCAACCATTTTCATTTAACACCTGGGATAGTTTATTGGTACACATACTATAAAACAGTATTAAAGTAGCAGGATAACAACAGTATTTTTTGAGTATTTTCATTGCTAGAAGTTTGACAAATACAATATATATATATATATATTTATAAATACAAAAGCACTTACAGCATGATCCATTGAGAAGCTACAGAAAGCTCAGGAGACAAACGAATAGAAACGGATGAAATTCAGAGCGCGACAGTTCTGCAAAAATAATCTGCTTTTCCCGCAAACTATAATATTAGAGCAAAAGTCTACGTGGAAGTCTACATCTTCCTCAGTATTTCTGTCTTGTTCTCCAGAACAAATCTCTAAACATCCTCAAATCCAGACACATTTACTGGAGAAGCACAATCAACACATGAAGTCTTGTTTTCTGAGAAACTGAACAAAATGAAGTGAGTTTATGATTAAAACAAGAACAAATATCTGCGGATGGGCTCAGAATAATAGTTAATTCAAAGGGAAGTTTTTCTGACCATTGGCATATTTCTTTCTTGTTTTAAGCATAAACGCACTTCATTTTGATACATTTTTCAGAAAACAAGAGTTAATATCTTGTCATCTTGATTTTTTTACTGGTTAACAAGCCATAAGTACTAAGAACATGATTTTTTTTTTGCAGTGTACAATCACCTCTCTTTAAAACAAGTACCGATACATTACACCGGAAAATAAAATAACACAAACACAAGTGAAACCAAAGTTCAGTGTGGTGTCGGAGAAGAGCTCCTCCGAATCCGTGCGAGGAGCCGGCGATTCTCAGGATAGCACCTCCATCATCTCCATCTCAAAGCCTGATTAAAACCGCAGAAATAACACGACGTGCGAGTCTGATCTTAAAAACGGAGAGGAACAGATGATAAAAGCTCGGGACACTGGTGTGATCTGGTTTCCAGACGCGTCTACATTCGTAGTGTACAGAGGAAAGCTAGAGCTCTGCTACATCGGCAAAGATCCTCTGAATCCTATCACATATAAAGTGCTCAGGAACGGTGCAAAGCGCATCGTTCGCCTGACTCTGCTACGGTTAACTAGCTCAGCTAATATACGAGTTGAAAAGAACACTTTTGAGTTGTCGGCCCATAATGGCTGCAGCGCTGCTGATGATGATGATGATGATGATGGTGGTGTATAAAAACATGTCCTCAGGAGCTGGTCTGAGCGGCGTGGGCGGAGCTACGGTAAGAGTCGGATTGGCTGGACGCCGCTGCAGAGGAGGAGTTAACCGCGGTGGGCGGGGCTAGAGCTGAGGTAGGGGCGGGGTTTACAGACTGCAGGGAGTCGGGATGAAGCACAGATGAAGACGGAGCCCGACGGGACGGAGCTCGCTCATGTGGAGGTTGGTGAGGGTCCGCTCTCGTCTCAGTTGACGGGTGGAGCGCTTACACCACCGTGGCTGGTCTGCGGTCCATGTCCTCCTCCAGCTTCACCATCTTCTGCATGTCTTTGGCCTGGAGAATCACAGCAGATATTTACATTGCGTTCATTCATCCGGATCTAATGTTTAGAGTAATGGGAACAATGATTTAAAATGCTGTTCATACTGACAACTAATTGTTAAGAGATATATTCAGTTACTAAAATAAACTGATTTGCTTTTTTTGTGAAACTTTGTAATGTGTAAAAAATGTCAGGTTGAAAAAAAAAAGTAGTTTGGCATATTGTAGTGCTGACGATAAACCGTACTGTAATCATGATTTGTGCTTCTCTTTATTAAGCATAACCGTCTGTGATATTTGAACACTCGTTATTTATCCTGGAAACATCTCATTTTAATTGCTCTTGCATTGGTAATGAGCCTCCACAAGCTTTCATGGTTAGGGTTGCCAGATGTCAAGAGTTTAAATCTTAAATCGATACATGTTATTCCCAACCTGGCCACCACACACATACACACACACACACTCTATTCTGCTCAGATAATAGTGTCACAGCCAGTCTGTCCTCATTGTGCTTTGTTTGCTGCGACTAAATCTGAGCAAACCGTGCAGTTGATGTTTGCTTGATTTGTGCTTATGTGAGAGTGCAATAATTCTGACGAAACAATTAAAATGACAATAAATGTGATAATATTTTTGAGCAAAATAACAGTGATTAATAGATTAATTATCGTGCAGCCACAGCATATTTTCTTTATGCGGCCAATTTATAAAAAGAAGCAGACAAAAATATTTGTAAAACTTCTGTCTCTCAAATCAAGTGTGACGGAAGGAAGGAGGCGTGTATGTGTCACATGACAGAAAACCCACCGCCAACTGAATCATTTGATGACTCACTGAATCAATCTAATGATTCGTTCACTCTCGGAACCGTTTGGAGTGGCTGTTACTTTCATCATGTTCAACTTCAAACTAAATCAGTGTAATTACTGAAAACGAATCTCTCTCTCTACATATATATTTACTGTATACAGAGTCCCGTCTACGAGCTTGAGACTGGTCTATGATGATTGGACGAGCTCTCAACTGGGTGGGACTTTACAACAAACGGCCAATGACTGAACACGTGATGTACGTGATTGACAGCACTCAGCACGTCAAAGTGGATGTGTTATAGAAGCTCTTGTGTCAATCAGACGGAAAGGAGACAGATGGAGAAAACTGAAGAAAGAGGAGAGCAATACGTGAGCCTACCTTGAGTCTGACTGTTTGCATGATGTGATTTCAAAAGCTGTTCAAAGAAAAGGCAAATCATATTTAAGGAATGGCTTCAGACGTCTCATGTACAGAACATGACTAATGAGGACAAAACACAAATCAAATGAAATGGAGAGGGTGGCCGTCTGTGAGCGTGAACAACAGCCGGCCCGAGCTTTACCTGCTCGTTGAACTTCTCGAGTTTGTCCAGCTGCTCGCGCTGAGACTTCTGCAGCTGCTCCAGCTCCTTCGCCTGCTTCATGGCCAGCTGAGGAAGAACAAAATCATCATCATCATCATCTTCAACCGCAGAACTACTACATTCATTTAACAGACGCTTTCATCTAATGAGGAACGTCACATGCAGTTTACACACAGAGAATCACCATAATTCTGCAACATTAATACTGTTATTTTCCTGTTTATCTCTGTGAAGCTGCTTCGACACAATCTGTACTGTATAAAGCGATATAGAAATTAAGGTGACTTGACAACTGCATCAATCCTAATCTCCAGAAACAGGCTTCAGTATCACGAGAGATCAGACCTTTTCATTCATTTTACACAAATTTAATGGAAATAACTTTTACTTTACCTTCTAATCAAAACCTCAGTATTTCTGTCTTGTTTTCCAGCGCAAATGTCTAAAGATCCTCAAATCAAGACACATTTACTGGAGACGCTCAATGAACACATGAGAAATAGATCAAAATGAGTTTATGATTATGGTTTTCTCAGAAAACAATGTCTTCTTTGTGCTTCTCCAGTAAATGTGTCTTGATTTGAGGATCTTTAGAGATTTGCGCTGGAAAACAAGACAGAAATACTGAGGAACAGGTTCGTTTTTGCAGTGCATGAAACATTACTGCCACGACTTCATGAATTTCAGACTTTCTGCTCTGATTTAAGACATTTTTAGGCCTTCATTTGTTGAAGGGTGATTAAGACTCGCAGAAAGCCTGTCTTTTGATTTTGGGATTGTGTTTTCTCATTCGATTAATCATACAGCTGTGACAAATGCAGTTATCCTTCATCAACCTCTCAAACCAAAGCCATTCTTCACAGAACGGAGCCATAAGCATCAGCTAACACTGAAGACCATTAACCAACCCTTTTTCTCTCCTCCAGGAACTTTTTGGTGTTGCTGCTGTTCAGCTCCCGAACTCTCCTGCAACACAAACACAAACCCGTTAAACTGTGACAAACGATGATTTATTAATCACAGCGCTCCGTCCGTGTGTCGCACCTCTCGCGCTCCGCCTTGTTTTTGATGCTCTTGTCCTGGCTGATGGCTTTGCTGTTCTCCATCGACGTCTTCGCCTGATTGCCCTTCATCTCTTTGCTTTGCCTGTCGATCGATCACAATACAGACATGCTCAAAACAGTCCAGAGAATCAGTGACGGTTATGAAACATCATCTCATGCTCGAGGGTCACGGCTCTTTCTCATGGAGATCCGGCTGCAGAACAAACATGTTCACACGAGGGGAATTATCAGTGTAATTAATAAAGACTCTTGAGCTGAATAGACGGGCCGCTCTTGTCCTGGACTTACAGAGACTCATGCAACATTAATGCCTGTTAATTATGGCAGCCGGCCTCGTATCTCTATCCTAATAAGACACCACATCAGCATTATAAAGAGGAGAACACTGGCCCAGATGAATATACACGAGCACGAGTGTTGTGTGTTAATCAGATTCAGCAGTTATTAGCATACTACGCTCTACTGTAGTACATACTACACTCACTGCTCTCATCATGAACATACAATACAAACAAATCCATTCAGGTGTATATGTATAGCACCTGAAAGTAAATAACACACACACAAACACACATATATATATATTTTTTTTATAATTGTAAAATTTCCTATTATTTCCATGAATCTCCATGGATTTCCAGTAAACTAACTAATCCAAATATTACAATATTATCTGAGACATTCAGCTTCCTCAAGGTCTCATATTTGATGTAATCAAATATCCATGTCTTGATGCATATACATCAGCTGGATTTGTAATTGAGGATTGAGAAAGTGAGTCACGTGACGTGTGGCCAAATGTGGTATCCCATACTTGGAATTTGAGCTCTGCATTTAACCCATCCAAGTGCACACACACACAGCAGTGAGTAGTGAACACACACACACACACACACCCAGAGCAGTAGGCAGACATTTTTGCTGCGGTGCCCTGGTGCTCAAGGGTCTCACCTCAGTTGGGTGGAAAAGAGCGCTGTACATCATGGTAGTGATGATAGTGATGACAGTAACTGTAGTGATTATAGTGATAATAGTGATGGTAGTGATGATAATGATGATAGTTGCTGGTAGAGATTATAGTGATGGTAGTGATGGTAACAATGGTAGTGATGACAGTGATAATAGTGATGACAGTGCTTGTAGTGATTAGTGATGGTAGTGAAGGTAATGATGATAGTGATTATAGTGATGGTAATGATGATAGTGATGGTAATGATTTTAGTGATGATAGTGTTGGTAGTGATGGTAATGATGATAGTGCTGGTAATGATTATAGTGATGATAGTGATGGTAATGATGGTAGTGATGGTAGTGATTAGAGAGATGGTAATGATGGTAGTGATAATAGTGATTGTAGTGATGACTGATTAGTGATGATAGTGATGGTGATGATAGTGTTAGTAGTGATGGTAACCATGACAGTGATAATAGTGATGACAGTGATTGTAGTGATTAGTGATGGTAGTGGTAATAGTGATGGTAATGATGGTAGTGAAGGTAATGATGATAGTGATGGTAATGACGATGATAGTGATTATAGTGATAATAGTGATGTAATGATGGTAGTGATGGCAATAATGATAGTGTTGGTAGTGATGGTAATGATGATAGTGCTGGTAATGATTATAGTGATGGTAATCTCTTTCAACGCTACTTGACTTCATCTTTAAAAAAATTGTCTTTCTCTTTATTTATTCGTTCTCTGTCTAGCTTGTACTTATTTGAACAATGCCTAAAACTTGGTATTACAAGCACTTCCTGTGTCTGTTTGCCTCTTTAAGAAGAATTGCTTTATGTATTCCCCAATTGTAAGTCGCTTTGGATAAAAGTGTCTGAAAAATTACTAAATGTAAAATGTAATGTAAATGTGATGACAGTGTTGGTAGTGATGATAGTTATGATAGTGTTGGTAGAGATGGTAATGATGACAGTGATTGGTAGTGATAGTGATTATAGTGATGATAATGATAGTGATTATAGTGATAATAGTGATTGTAGTGATGACTGATTAGTGATGGTAATGATGATAGTGATTGGTAGTGATGATAGTGACGATTGTGTCTGTAGTGATTATAGTGATGGTAATGATGATAGTGATTATAGTGATAATAGTGACGACAGTGATTGTAGTGATGACTGATTAGTGATGGTAGTGATGGTGATGATAGTGTTAGTAGTGATGGTAATGATGATGATAGTATTAGTAGTGATGATAGTGATAATAGTGTTGGTAGTGATTATAGTGATGATAGTGATGACAGTAATTGTAGTGATGACTGATTAGTGATGATAGTGTTGGTAGTGATGGTATCAATGATAGTGCTGGTAATGATTATAGTGATGATAGTGATGGTAATGATGGTAGTGATGGTAGTGATTAGAGAGATGGTAATGATGGTAGTGATAATAGTGATTGTAGTGATGACTGATTAGTGATGATAGTGTTAGTAGTGATGGTAATGATGATAGTGATTATAGTGATAATAGTAATGATAGTAATTGTAGTGATGACAGTGTTTAGTGATGGTAGTGATGGTGCTAGTAGTGATGGTAATGATGGTAGTGATGGTGATGATAGTGCTAGTAGTGATGGCAATGATGATAGTGATGGTAGTGACGATAGTTTTAGTAGTGATGGTAATGATGATAGTGATTATAGTGATAATAGTAATGATAGTAATTGTAGTGATGACAGTGTTTAGTGATGGTAGTGATGGTGATGATAGTGCTAGTAGTGATGGCAATGATGATAGTGATGGTAGTGACGATAGTTTTAGTAGTGATGGTAATGATGATAGTGATGGTAGTGATTATAGTGATGGTAAAGATGATACTGATTATAATGATAACAGTGATTGTAGTGATGACTGATTATTGATGGTAGTGATGGTGATGATAGTGTTAGAAGTGGTAATGATGATGATAGTAATAGTAGTGAT